CAAGAACTAGAGAATCTGAATAGACCAATCACCAGTAAGGAGATCGAAACAGCAATCAAAAACCTCCCAAAAAATGAAGTCCAAGACCAGATGGCTTCCCTGGTGAATTCTACCAAACATTCAAAGAAAACTTAATACCTATCCTTCTCTAATTCTTCCAGAAAATTGAGGAGGAGGAGAAGCTTCCTAACTCATTCTACGAGGCCAACATTACCCTGATACCAAAACCAGACAAGGACAACACAAAAAAAGAAAATTACAGGCCAATATCACTGATAAACATCAATGCAAAAATCTTCAACAAAATACTAGCAAATTGAATACAACAATACATTAAAAAGATCATATACCATGATCAAGTGGGATTTATACCAGGGATGCAGGGATGGCTCAATGTCTGTTAATCAATAACTAGATACATGACATTAACAAAATAAAGAGTAAAAACCACACAATCATTTCAATAGATGCAGAGAAAGCATCTGACAAGCTCCAACATCCATTTATGATAAAACCCCAAATAAAAATGGGAATAGAAGCAAAGTAACTCAACATAATAAAAGCCATATATGATAAACCCACAGCTAATATCATACTCAACAAAGAAAAACTGAAAGCTATCCCTCTAAGAATAGGAACGAGACAAGGATGCCCACTCTCACCACTCCTATTTAACATAGTACTGGAGGTCCTAGCCAGAGCAATCAGGCAAGAAAAAGAAATAAAAGGGATCCAAATTGGAAAGGAAGAAGTGAAACTGTCACTATTTGGAGACGACATGATTTTATAGATAGAAAACTAAAGAATCCAGCAAAAAACTTTTAGCAATAATAAATGAATACAGTGAAGTTGCAGGATACAAAATCAACATACAAAAATCAGTTGCATTTTGATACACCAACAGTGAAGTAGCAGAAAAAGAAGTCAAGAATACAATCCCATTTACAATTGTAACAAAAAGAATAAAATACCCATGAATAAATTTAACCAAAGAGGTGAAAGACCTGTATGCTGAAAACTATAAAACATTGTTGAAAGAAACTGAAAAAGACACAAAGAAATGGAAAGAAATTCTGTGCTCTTGGATTGGAAGAATTAACATAATTAAGATGTCCATACTTCCTAAAGCAATCTACAGATTCAATGCAAGCCCTATCAAAGTTCCAATGGGATTTTTCACAGAAATAGAAGAAAGAATCCTAAAATTTATATGGAACAACAAAAGACCCCGAAAAGCCAAAGGAATCTCGAGAAAAAAGAACAAAGCTGGGGGTATCACACTTTCTGACTTCAAAATATACTACAAAGCTATAGTAATCAAAACAGGAGGGTACTGGCACAAAAACAGACAGACAGAACAATGGAACAGAATTGAGAGCCCAGAAATAAACCCACACATTTATGGACAGCTAACTTTTTTTTTTTTTTTAAAGATTTTATTTATTTATTTATTTTTCCCCCAAAGCCCCAGTAGACAGTTGTATGTCATAGCTGCACATCCTTCTAGTTGCTGTATGTGGGACGCGGCCTCAGCATGGCCGGAGAAGCAGTGCGTAGGTGCGCCCGGGATCCGAACCCGGGCCGCCAGCAGCGGAGCACGCGCACTTAACCGCTAAGCCACGGGGCCAGCCCCATATGGATAGCTAACTTTCGACAAAGGAGCCAAGAAGATACAACGGAGAAAGGAAAGTCTCTTCAATAAATGGTGGTGGGAAAACTGGACAGCGACATGCAAAAGAATTATCTTACACCACACACAAAAATTAACTCAAAATGGATTAAAGACTTGAATGTAAGACCTGAATCCATAAAAATTCTAGAAGAAAACATAGGCAGTATGCTCTTTGATATCGGTCTTAGCAGCACATTTTCAAGTACCATGTCTGACCAGGCAAGGGAAACAACAGAAAAAATAAAGAAATGGGACTACATCAAACTAAAAAGCTTCTGCATGGCAAAGCAAACAATCGACAGAACAAAAAGACAACCTAACAATTGGGAGAAGATATCTATAAACCATATATCTGATAAGGGGTTAATCTCCAAAATATATAAAGAACTCATATATCTCAACAACAAAAAAACTAACCACCAAATTAAAAAATGGGCAAAAGAGCTGAACAGACATTTTTCCAAAGAAGATATACAGATGGCCAAGAAGCACATGAGAAGATATTCAACATCATTAACTATCAGGGAAATGCAAATCAAAATTACAATGAGATATTGCCTCACGACTGTCAGAATGACTATAATTAACAAGACAGGAAACAACAAGTGTTGGAGAGGATGTGGAGAGAAGGAACTCTCAAACACTGCTGGTGGGAATGCAAACTGGTGCAGCCACTATGCAAAACAGCATGGAGATTCCTCAAAAAATTAAGAATAGAACTACCATACGATCCAGCTATTCCACTGCTGGGTATTTATCCAGAGAACATGAAAACACGAACGCGTAAGATACATGCACCCCTGTGTTCACTGCAGCGTTATTCACAATAGCCAAGACGTGAAAGTAACCTAAGTGAATGGACGAATGGATAAAGAAGAAGTGGTGTATATACACAATGGAACACTATTCAGCTGTTAGAAATGAAGAAATCCAGCCATTTGTGACAACATGGATGGACATTGAGGATATTATGCTAAGCGAAACAAGTCAGAGGGAGAAAGTCAAATACCGTATGATTTCACTCATAAGTAGAAGATAAAAACAATCACATAGAGACTGAGATGGGATTGGTGGTTACCAGAGCGGAAGCAGGGAGGTAGGAGGGCAAAAAGCATCATTAGGCGCATGTGTAAGGTGATGGATTGTAATTAGTCTTTGGGTGGTGAACATGATGTAATCCATGCAAAAATAGAAGCATAATGATGTACACTTGAAGTTTATACAATGTTATAAACCAATGTTACCACAATAAAAAAGAAAAAAAAATACAATGATGCAATACAGCTAAGCACTTCTACTGACTGTTGTCTTGAAAGAAATAGGTTACTCTGAAACTACCTTAAATAGTAAAAAAACTAAAAAATAGTTTTCTTCCCTCAGATCCTATAGATTCTCTCTGTATGTCTTCATTGCCTTTTCTCTGGGGCTCAAACTCTACATTGCTCTTCTTGTTCCCTCATTCACCCTAACATTTACTAGCATCATCATTGTGCATTAACATTACAAGGAACTGTGAACTTTTTCTCTGTCAGCTTACAAAATTCTTTGAAATTATTTTTCTTCAGAAGTTTAGTTTTCTTTTGACTTCTGCATGTCATAACAGAATTTTCTATGTTCACAATCACATTTCTGATACGAAGTAAAGTGAGAGCTTAAGTGAGCAATAGTATAGGAACTCTTAAAATGAAAATAAGAATTTTGTACAAATATCAAAGTCTCAAAAGAATTTTCTAGACAGTGTTCAAAAGGCTTGCAATTATAAAATTTTCAGTAGTCAGAGTCTGACACAGATAGGATTAAGTTAAAAAATGCTATTGGCCCAAATAGGAATGTCCAGGATAATTCACCCTGGAGTGTGGCTGACCATGGAGAAAGACCCAGCCTTCAGGACTACCACTCCTTTTTAAGTAAGTTTTATGGATGGCAATGGACGCTGGTCATTTTAAAATTTAGGGTAGCAGACTCACTAAATAAACAAAGCTACAAGTATCTAAAATGAAATCCGTTTAAAAATTTTTAGAGGGCCGGCTCCGTGGCTTAGCGGTTAAGTGCGTGCGCTCTGATGCTGGCGGCCCGGGTTCGGATCCCGGGCACGCCCCAAGGCACCACTTCTCCGTCCAACGCGAGGCCGAGTCCCACGTACAGCAACTAGAAGGATGTGAACCTATGACATACAACTGTCTACTGGGGCTTTGGGGGGAAAAAAATGAATAAATAAAATCTTTAAAAAAAAAAAAAAAAATAAAAATTTTTAGAGAAAGTTTTCCTCCTGCTATAGTTACAGAAGGAAGTAGCTGGTTTCAGAATCTAAATTTCCTCATGTAAGTCAATGGAAAAATAGGACTTGACTTGTAAGTCTTATTTTACTGGACACTGAAAATAAGGTTCAAGTTTAGACCCTTGGAATTAAATATACATGAAGTGTATTAGTGTTTCACTACTATGCGAGATTTTAAACCTTATAAAAATCCACTGGAAAAAATTAAATAAAATTCCATTCTAAGTCCAGCAAAACTATCCATTCACTCCCTTATTTCTTGAGCATCTACTTCACCCTAGGTAGCTGAGTGAGGACTGGAAGCCATGCAGTGGATCTCATACAATCTAAGCTAGGAAGGTTTTACAATTAGGTTGGATAAAGGGATCTAGGGCATTAGCTGCAGGATGGCTTCGGCTCAGCAGTTTTAAAAAAGTACCAGGAGAAAATACAGCATAGGTTTGAAACAATTACATGAATCTTTAAGGCTGAGAAGACCATTTAAAAAAATCTACTTTGTAAAAATTAGGGTTGCTTACCCCAAACAGATTTGTTTTATGCTTGGTGTTTAAAATCCCTGTGACACAAGGCCCTGATTATTAATGTCCTTATCTATTAATTCACCTATGCGGAGAGTAAAACTGCATTTACCTGGGGATTATTCTTAAAAATGCAAGCAGAGGAAAAGCATTTTTTCTTTAAAAGCTAAAGCATGTTTTAGATTTTAGAGCAGACTGCTAGTGTTAATCTCTCTCTCTTTTTTTTTTTTTGAGGAAGATCAGCCCTGAGCTAACATCTGTTGCCAATTCTCTTCTTTTTGCTGAGGAAGCCTGGCCCTGGGCTAACATCCATGCCCATCTTCCTCTACTTTATATGGGACGCCGCCACAGCATGGCTTGATGAGCGGTGTGTAGGTCCACGCCCGGGGCCGTGAACCGCGGGCAGCCAAAGCGGAGTGCTTGAACTTAACCACTACGCCACTGGGCCAGCCCCATAGTGTTAATATCTTAATCCTCTCTGCCCTCGTCAAGTGTTATAAATAAACTTAAGGAAAGAAGTGTATGAACTAACATGCAGAATCAAGAAAGCCAGAACTGCTATGTGGAAGGGTCTGTGTTGCCACAGCGGTACTAGGAGGTGAGGCAGCTGGCTTCTTCTCTTCTTCCATCGAGTCTTTGGATGTCTCAGACGGCTGTGATGCAGATGAGCGTCCAAATCTCGAGAACAGCATTCCTCCAAGTCCCTTTCCAATGCTGGCAGCCCCTGTGTTTCACAAAACAGGGCAGTCACTCCGCTGAATTACACCACACACTAAGGTCAAGAGCACCACCCATAATTACAGCCACTGGCAGAGGGACCAAGCCCTAGTCATGTTTTTCCAGGGTGGGAACATGTGAAAATGACAATTTAAATTGTAGGTTTCTAAATAAAACTGGTGTTGAATAGAATGAGAGCTGTACAAACTCTAGGAATATAGCTTACAAACAAAGGAATAAAGATTTGATGTATTTTATTCAAGTGATCATTGCTTATTAAAGTATTTGGAAAGGTTAAAAACTTAAAAAAAAAAACCACGCCATTGACATGGGCATATATTTACTGTTGATATGCTTACTACTGAAATTATGTGTTTATGTTATAAAAAGCTATCAATAAACAATCTGTGATATGATGAAGTAAAATATCACTGAGTCCAGCAGATAAAGCCTAGTTATAGTGCCATCTTGTGGCATTTTATAGGAAGGCAACTTATAACCAAAAGCAATGGACAGACTCGTCTCACACCCTGGGCTGAGCTCCAGTGCTACCCCAAACATCGTGGCTGGTACTGGAGGTCACTCCAAGGCAAACTAACTCTCCTTGCTGCCCTCAGGAAGGACACAGTTTGAGAGACTTTTAAGACACATATCACAGAACTGGTTGGCTGGGGCACCCTTAAAACTCAAGTACTCCCTCATTTCACTGAGGAGGAAGCAGAGCATTAAAAACTACGTGACTTGCCCAACATCTCACAGAACGTGGTAGGGCCAAGATTAAATGAGGGACTTGATTCCTAGGCCTTTTCTAGTGCATCCAGCTATTTCATATTCTCAAACTACAGGATCTGATCTAATCAGAGAACTTCAGGGCTTTTGGCCCTCAAATATGAACAGTGAGAGGGTAGTTAATACTAAATACATGAATTAACTGTTGGATGTTTTGTAATACAAAGAGTATTTCCAAGTGCCCAGAACTTAAATGCCTATATAAAAAGCTTATATTCATTGATATGGAATACTGAAGAGAAATTACCTAATATGCTTGCTTTGCCTATATTTGTTATAGATTCCCCATAGTGTCGGCGGGACAAGACTGGTGAGGTCACAGGGCTTGGTACTGTTGACACGCCTTCATTCTCTGAAACTGAGGTAGGTTCTTTTGCTGGGTGGAGAAAGCTTGGCTTCATATGCTCATAAGGTAGAGGATTGGAAGTATTATACCAGTGGATCTGGACAGGTGAAATGTTGCTGTAGTGTTTCAGTATTAACGGTTCTAATCTATAAGCCTTGATTAAAAAAAATTCAAAGAAATACAACATTAAGGCACACTGCTTGATTCTAATAAACTCTGTTTATTCCTATTCTATTGCATGCTCAGTAGACTTTAGGGAATTTTTAAAAACCTGGTATTTCTAACATGTATTTCTATTTTTTCACTAATAACAATATGTAGTTGATCTAATCATATATCCTTAATGATGAGACTACGAAAAGAAAAACAGAGTTAGTCCAGGCTAATAGTGCCCATTAATTAGTTTTTCAGAGAAACAGATTCATTTTTATTATGTTTTGACATCATCTAACAATTAGATTTATGTTAGTCTCACAAAAAAGCCTAAGTAGTAAACAGTAAACCAGAACACAGGAAATAAGGTCAATTTTTAATTTTTAGGAGCTCTTACTAAACTCTATTTTCAAATAACTTAGTATAGTAACACAAATTAGATGCGATATAAGACCATTTGCCTAATGTGAAGCAGGGATGATATGGCAGAAAAGGCAATGGCCTTGGCGTCAGAATTCCCTGAGTTCATATTCTGGCCTCTGTTACTGATTAACTGTATGACACTCACCGAGTCACAAGGTCTCAGAGCCTCAGTTTCCCGAGCTATAGAAACGAGATAACACTTCCTACCTCACAAAGATGCTGGGAAGAACAGATAATGTTTGTAAAAACTGCCTAGCACACTTCTGACATAAACTATTAAAAAAGCATTACTTACAAAAAAAAAATCACAGAAAAACTATAAAATGAATAATAAAAATAACTTATAATAATAAAATGAGTTTGGAACCCTCCTTTATAACATAAAGTTAAGATTATACAAAGGACAGGGTATACACTGAAAGCTCAGAGTTCACCTATGAACTCAAGTCATAACAGAATGAGTAAATTGAATGTATATTAATGAAATACTTAACGTCTAGCTGGGTATTCTCCCATCTGCTTTATTTAATCCTAACAACCCTATGAGGTAAAATATCATCTTCATCATATAGACAAGCAACAGGTCCCAGAAGTGACTTGGCCAAGATGTGCAGTCTGCATTCGAATCCAATATTAGATTCCAGCTCACTGAAATTTATTTCTTAAATATAGCAGTTTTGATTCTTTAACATATGGGAAATTTCCTAAAAGTCTAGTGTTTAGTCAATGTTATATTTATTTGCTACTAGCTAAAGATCTTTTAAAAAACTTTACACAATTCTATAAAGCTATTTTTCAGAGAAGGAATGCTATATGGAGTAGTTTGTTTTAAATTTAGTTGTATCTAGCCTCGTCCCCAAAAGAATTTAAGGAAGCGTCTTTCTCATCTAAAAATCACACTTGGCATTAAACTGCTTATCTAGATGCAAGATCCTTGGAGTGTTCACATTAAAAAAAATTATTTACAGTACAAACATAACAAAGAATGTAAAAATCCAAAATTTTATAATTCCACCAGGCTAAACTAAACTCTTCCACTTTTTCATGTGTAATACATAATATTTACATATTTTCATTTCTATGAGGATCTATCAAACACATTTCAACAATGTAGCATGCTTTAGAGAAAAAAGTATTTAAAGTGGGATTTTAAAAATTTATGGTTGCTTGGGCTGGCCCCATGGCTTAGCGGTTAAGTATGCGCGCTCCGCTGCTGGTGGCCCGGGGTTCGGAACCCGGGTGCACACCAACGCACCGCTTGTCCGGCCATGCTGAGGCTGCGTCCCACATACAGCAACTAGAAGGATGTGCAGCTATGACATACAACTATCTACTGGGGCTTTGGGGAAAAAAAAGGAGGGGGATTGGCAATAGATGTTAGCTCAGAGCCAGTCTTCCTCAGCAAAAAGAGGAAGATTAGCATGGATGTTAGCTCAGGGCTGGTCTTCCTCACACACACAAAAAAATTTATGGTTGCTAGGTTATTAGTATTACAATTGGTTAAGGTTTGAAAGTCCAGATGACTCCTGTCCCTTGTATTAATTGTCCAGAGATCCTATTTTTACATTATACTCTTATACTATAAGTTACAATATAACCAGATCAACTCTAAGGTATTTTATTTCCTGAGCCCTAAATTAACCAAAACACAAGTTTTAAAAATATGAACCTATGGAACTATAATCAGATAAATGAATTCTTTCTCATTAATTCAGTGGTACCTTGCAAGATTTCTTATGGATTCTTTCAGGAACAATTTAGTATTGAGAGAAAAATGTCTATATTTGCAACTCACCACTGGATCTGTTGGATGAAAAATATTTAGTAGCCGGTTACAAATCTCTCTGGGTAAAATATGATCTTGACTTCCAGTGTTTCCTGGGCGGATGCCACGCAAGGCCAAAAAAACTGCCAGTGGGGATCCCATGCAGAAGAAATTCTCAACCTAAAATGACAAAGTCACCCTAAATTTTAAAACATGTGAAGCGTTTTTCAACAGAATTTGGGTTCAAATGTATGTCTTTTTAAATGAGCTTTGCCTAGATGGTATCTGTATTATTTGTTAACTATATGCCAACCATTAATTATTCTAAACAATCTATTTCCAGGAGCAACTTCATTATCTTTAATAGAAAACGAAGAACGACAAGAGGAGGATAAGAAGGAAGAGCATTTCACGGTGTGTTTCTATACACTAATCACATATTTATTAAGCTACTGTTTTTTAAATTAAATTCTTTTTATTAAAGTAGCATTGGTTTATAACATTATATAAATTTCAGATGCATATCATATTTTGATTTCTGTGTAGTTCACCATCCAAAGACTAATTACCACCCATCACTGCACACACGCGCCCTGTCAGCCCTTTCGCCCCCTCCCTCCCTAAGCTACTGTTTTGTGTGAAGCAGTACTCGAGGTGCTGCTAAGGACATAAAGACCAGTAAGGCAGAGCTCCTGCATTCAGTTCACAACCCTGTGGGCGGCAGGATAAAGTACGTCCATAATAGAGGAAAGAGAGCAGAGAAAGGAACAATCAATTCCAACTCTCAGGGCTTTACAAAGGAGGAAGCATTTGCACTGACCATAAAAGATGAAAAGGATTTCCAGGGTTGGGGTTGGAACACTGGGGCTGAAAAGAAGGACATTCCAGACTGATAGAACCACATGTACTAAAGCATGTACTAAAACTGGACAGCGACATGCAAAAGAATTATCTTACACCATACACAAAAATTAACTCAAAATGGATTAAAGACTTGAATGTAAGACCTGAAACTGTGAAAGTTCTAGAAGAAAACATAGGCAGTAC